CTTTCTTGTGTTATTTTTTTAAGATAAAAAAATCGTAATTTAAAAAAGCAATTTTAGAAATAAATTAATTTGAATAAAAAATATCAAGAAATATAAAAACTATTTTTAAATACATATATCAAAACAACGAAACAAAAAAAGGCATTAAATTATAAAAAAGTCACTAAAATATACTTCAATACTAAATCAACAAGAAGTTGCGTTTTTGTTTGATATATTTTTTTTTATAACATAAATAGTTAAAAAAAAATCCTGATCTGACAATATACAAGAGTGTTAATTCATGAGTGTGATACTAATTATAACATTTGTCAACGAAAGAATGATGTAACAAATAAAAAAAGATCTTCTTCAGCAATTTTCATGATCGCGCTTGTCGACGTTATCTCGAGCGTACATAATCACGCTCGATGAAAACATATTTTAATTTTACGAGCGCAATATAACACGCTTGACGATTTTATTCGTCACTAGCCCTGTATATATGTATGTGTATATATATATATATATATATATATACATATATATATATATATATATATATATATGCGGTAGTGGTGTAGTGGTAGAGCGCTCGCTTCATAAACGAGTGGTTCCGAGTTCGATCCCCACCACGTCCCTGGTAGTACCGCGCTCAACTCGTTTCTCTGCGCAGCGGCCTTGTTCGTCAAGGTTCGTGTTTCGGAGTTATAGAGTTGAGAGAGGGTATAGCCACAAAATAAGTAGCCTCCTTGTCTGTAGTGGCCTTCTTGGCCTTGAGGAGGTGAAGTAAAATTAAAAAAATATATATATATTTAAATGCAGCATTAGACACACTGGTGAGGTACTACAAAATAGGTAGCTGTGAAGGGATTCAGTACATACATCAACTGACATCATTCTTGGAAGAACATGCAAGGTAGTGCTGCTACATAGACTAAAGGCTTGGGTTAGGATACAGGCTTGGGTTAGGCAAATGATTTTTTTGTTGACAACTTGACAACAACTATTTAGATGTTTTGATGATTTAAACATTTCAGAAATGTGCTGAAAAAAAACTGCTAAGCTAAACTTAAATTAGGAAAAAAATTTAAAAAACTAAAGAATAAATAAAGAAAACAATTCCTTACGAAAAAGAAAATATATAATGTTTAAAACAAAACTCAAAAAACTTAAACTCAAAGTGAAAATAACTTTTTGTTAACAGCATTTTTTAATAACATTTGAAATAAATTTCTTTAAAACTTACCTTTTAAAAAATTTTATTAAAGTTACGCGAAACGCTTTTACAAATTACTTTTAATGATTGTCTAATAAATAAAAAAAATTTATTTAAATTATTGAAACCTGAAACTATGTTATTGAAAAGAAAAAAATATAATATTTTAAATAGTATAAAGATTATTTTCCAAAAAATGCAAAAAAAAAAATTTTTTTAAATAATGTGGCATTTTTTTTAAAAAAAAAATGAAATTAAAAATAGTATTTTTTGATCATTTCACGCTCTGATTAGTAAGTCAAGTTAAAAAGAAACCATTTAAACAATTCTTTGTAAAAATAGACACACACACACAAAAAAAAGGCAATTAAATCATTCCATTCCAATAGGAAGAATTTAACTTATTCATAATTTAAAGTATAAAATAATCTTTTAAAATTTTTTTAGAAAGATATGGAAAAATAGTTTCAAACATTTATATTACTCATAAAAAATACATGCCTATCAAAAAAAAAAAAATTAATATTACATTTAATTTACACAAAATGCATTTGTTTTAAACAATAATTATAATTAATTTTTTATTTTACTTAAATCCTTTGCATAAAATAAAAAACTTTAAAATAGGTTAATGATTTAAAGTTATTCATAAAGTAACAATTTTTTTATTGCATTTAAATTGTTAAAACATCAAAACAGCTGTTATCATATTGTAAAGAAAAAAACTATAGGCGCGGTCAGTAACAGCGTGCGATCACACGCCATTCCTGTCCAAGTCTGGAGTAGCAATAATTTGTTTTTAAAACATTTTTGTTTTATCTTTTTTTTTTCAAAAATATTAAAGACCATATTTTAAGAATTAAAGCACACTAACTATATAAGGAAACTGCCTCCTTAGATACATAGTATCAATTGTGTGTGTGCGATTGTGAATATTTATATATCAACCCTAGGAATCAGAATAAATGAGGTCGGCAATAATTTGCCAACCTCAATCTTTTTGAGGTTGGCATCAGGACGGCAGAAATTATTTGATACAAAGGTCTAACAATAAAACATAGAAACCAGGTTAACAACGTTTTGCAGAATTAGGCATTGACGAATGCTGACCCAAATTCAAAGTGTTGATATATATATCAAGAGCAGCATGGCGCAATAGTAGCGCACTTGCCTTAGAAAAAAGGAATCGGTGGTTCAAACCCCATTTCTGGGCAAGTTTTGTGATAACAGTTAGGAAGGAGGCGTGAACTTCCAATTAAAAGCTCATCCGCAGTGCTCTGTGATAAGACCGTAAGGGACTTCTTGGGGAACCTGAATAAATTTTTTTTTTTAATTAATTTTTTAATATGTCATGTCAGGTTAGGTTATCCTGGTAACATGTAACCCAGTACAATCTGCTTTATGTCCTGCTGCCATGTAGGATACGCCATTTTAGGCAAAGGTTAGGAGATACCCACTCCGAAATAGAATACCCACTACCTTAGGGCTCTTGGTTGAGTAAAGGCTAGAGATAGTGTCTCGATAAAAATACTCATCTTGGGCAGATGTTAAATGCATCCGGCTGCTGTCTTGTAGAAGGCCTCCTTGGCAAAGACTTCAGGAGTAAACAGAATCCATCTGTTGACCAGCCTTGCATCCCTTCTTCATCTATTAAGCTAGCACAGATGTATTTTTAATATATTGTTTCCAGGTTAGAATGTTGAATACTAGATCTTCTCGACTCAATGCATGGGTTTTGCTTGTGTCTCTGTTTTTATGACTGAGGGTACAGCTCTAAAACTCAGTTTTATGGTTCTAAGGCTGGCTAATAGTCAGGTTTCCCAAACTCTGTGGTAGCTCTCAGAGAAGCTGATTTTATCAACAGCTAAAAAATATCAAAGAATTAACAGTGCCATGTTGCGCATGGATGGTGTCCATGTTTGTACTTTTGGTGTGCATTGCCAAGGCCACATTAGAGCCCTTTGTTACGGCTTGGGTTTATTAATAGTAATAAGGCAATTGCTTGGGCTATTAAACAGTGTACTGAGCATTATCTATGCTTCAAGTCAAGTTCTTTAACAAATTTAAAATAGCTTAAGTAACAAAAACTATAAAACACAAAAAACCATTGTCATCACCAAGTTCTCTAAACCTATCATTCACTAATAATCGTGGTCTTCGAAGTAACTTTTCTTCTGTTGAGTCTTATCTCTTGCAAAGTTCACCAGATCTCCTTGCTCTTTGTGAGATTATTTGAGTTCAGCTGTCTCATCTTGTGATCTTAGTGTTGATGGTTATCTTCCTTTAATTCATAAAGACTCCAATAGTCACATGCTTGACTTGGGCATTTACATTCGTAAGAATTCACCCATTTGTCGGGAAACTAGGTTTGAATCCACAGACTACCCTTTTATGTGCTTTCATTTAGCACCACCTCACTCTATCACCTTTCTCTTTGTTCTATATCATTCTCTTTCATCTCAAGACTGAACTCTTCTTGATGTTATTATAAGCCCACTTTCTTTAACCATCAGCCAATGTTGTTGTTGTCGGTGACTTTAATGTTCATCACACTGAATGGCTTGGCTCTAGTGTCAATAGTTCTGCAGGCATTAAAGCCCACAACTTTTGCCTTTCTCAATCCCTATCTGTAATAGTCAACTTTCCAACTCGCTTTCCAGACAACCCAAATCATTTACCTTCTCTACTCGACTTATGTCTTGTTTCTGATCCTAGTCAGTACTCAGTTTCTCCACATTCACCCTTAGGTGCTTCTGATCATGGTTTGGTTTCTCTAAAACTATTATCTCATTCTTCTTTATCATTAGAATCCACCTATCATTGTACATCTTACAACTACCTTAGAGCTGACTGGGACTCTTTTCGTGATTTTCTTCGTGATGGTACTTGGGTAGAAATCTTTCTTCTTCCTGTTGACAAATGTGCTTCTTACATAACTTCGTGGATTCAGGCTTGCATGGAATCCTTTATTCCCTCTCGACGATTCCAGGTCAAGCCTCACTCTCCTCCATGGTTTTCCTCACATTGTGCTGCTGCAATTGCCAATCGAAACCATTACTGACATATCTATCAGCAAAACAATTCTCCAGAAAACAGACCTCTGTTTATTATTGCTAGGAACCATTGTAAAAAGATTTTGCCTATACCAAAGCCCGCTATTCTCAGATCATGAAATCTGGTATTTCATCACAAAAATTAGGCTCTTGTGACTTCTGGAGAATCTTTAATAGTATCAATAATAAGGGCAAGTCGTTAATTCCACCTCTTTTGTATGGTTCAGACTTTGTCACCTCACCTAAAGACAAAGCTGAATTGTTTGCTAAAAAATTTTCATTAATATCATCTCTTGATTCAACTAGTTGCGTTCTACCTTATATAGCTAACAAACAGGCTGATCCATTGCTTGACATTTGTATCACTCCAGCTTCTGCATCTAAAGTGATTTCCTGCTTAGACTCTTCTACAGCTTGTGGCCCGGACAACATACCTGTTATAGTCTTGCAGAAGTGCTCTCCGGAGCTGTTGTCTATCCTTTCAAAACTACTCAATAAGTGCTTATCAGAGTCTTGTTTTCCAGCCTGCTGGAAAGCAGCATCTGTTATCCCTTTTTTTTAGAATTCTGGAAAGCAATCTGATTCGTCTAACTACCATCCGATTAGTCATCCTATCATAAGCAAGGTTTTTGAATCTTTAATTAACAAACACTTAATCTCTCATCTTGAATCTAATAACTTACTTTCAGATCATCAATATGGATTTTGATCTTCTCGTTCTAGAGCTGATTTGCTAACAGTAAAGCCGA